GTGGGTGCATCCTGTGCTGCCCAAAGAGATTACTTGTTCCATGAACACCCAACACCCAACTACCTCCTCTTGTAGCTCTGTCAGGGAAACTGTATTGCCTTCAGCCCAGTATCAAATTGGGAGTTTCAGGTACAGGCATGTGAAGAATGTGCAGCGTCTCTCTGTGGATCCTCACGATGGCATTTGGATTCTATCATCCAAAGAAAAATGCAGGAGACTAGATAACAGAGTCATCTTTCCATGTCAAAAATCAAGACAAACGGCAGGGTAGGCAGTCAGCTGTTAAAAATGGAGCCCCACAAGATCCATGTAAAACGCTGGGCATGGTGACACACACTTGCAGTACTAGCATTGGGGAGTGGACATAGGATCTCTGGAGCTTTCTGGTCAACCAGCCTACTTAGTGAGCCCAGGTCTCAGTGAGAGACAATGTCTCAAAAAGCAAAAAAACAGAAAACAAAAACACAAAAAACAAGGAGGAGGGCCAGCAAGACTGCTCAGTGGGCTAAGGTTCTTTCTGCCAAGCCTGAGGACCTAAGTTACATCTCCCAACCCACAAGATGGAAGGAGAAAATGGAAATGTGTTCTCTCAGCACACGTGCTCCAGCTGGGCAGGGCTGACATGGAGAAAGACAGGAAGGCAGGCTCTCCTGAGAATCTCAGCAACTCTTGGTTGGGTTAGTTACAACATCTTTGTTTCTGGAGTACAAACCAGGTCAGATTAGTGAATTCCTGGAGTTCCATTGCTTCTTTACAGACTGTAGGTCGTGTGACATCAAGGACACTTATTTGGCACTTCTCACTTAACTTCACAAGAATTAGATTTTCTGGGGGGAAAAAATCCCCTAAAACTCCTATGGTGCCCAAGTTCACAGAGGAAAAGCAGACTCTGAAATTCCCGTTATTTTCCAAGAATGGTGGCCAGTTAGGGAGAGGCTCTTGTGAATTCCTGTACTGTTCTCTGGGATGGAGCTGAGCACAGAGGCCAGTGACAGGAGAATCCTGATAAAGGAGACGGAACTTCTTTCTTAAGATACACTTGAGGCTGATCTCCACATCAGCTCAGGTCTCTTTTTTATAGTGAGGAGACTCCAGTACAGGTAATACTTGCTTCCAAAGGTCATGACCTTAGAACAAATGCAGGATGGGAAGGGAGAAGAGATCATTAGAGAGCTGGCCTAATGCCCCAAACCTCAGACACTGGGTTGCAAGGTTTGCTTCCAGGGTTTCTCCTGTCTTATCTTCTCTCTCTCACTTTTTCCCTCTCTCTGTCCCCCACCTTCACCCTGTGAGCGTGTGCGTGCACTCGAGTTCACGCACGCGCACACACACTTTCTCTCTCATACACACACGTACACTCCAACACACACAGGCACACACATCCTCACACCCACTTTCATGTTGTGAAATCACAGTGTGACCCAAAGCAGGTGGTTATTAAAAGTTAACCCTTTCACACCCTTCATGGGGACATCCTTATAGGAGACATCTATTTTAGAGACACTTCGTCCCGTCTTGCATCCTCCATGTTTAATTCAGTAAGAAAGTTGTCAATCCCACTATTCTCTGTGGTAGCGAATACTAAAGAACAGTTTTAGCGAGAGAAAAAAAAAAGAAAACAAAAACAATGTTCCAAAGTAAACCGCACACAGTCCAGGAAGTGGGTGTTTATAACAGGCCAAGAGGACCAAGAATCCTAAGAAATGCCTGTTCACAAAATATGAGCAAATGAAGTAGTGAGAAGACCCCAAAGAGTCTCTGCTACAGGTAGAAATCCAACCAGAGTCAGCCCTAATCCTCCAGGCTGCTCGTGGCTCCAAGTATCTGGGGGGTGGGGTGCGGGACTGTGAAAGCCCATGACACAGTTGTATTACATTGCATGCCATCCCTGGGATGGCCAGAGCTCACGGCTGGTGAGTGGCTGTGAGCACCTGCCACTGGCTGAGCCATCCTCTGCTCAGGCCATAGGCAGCCTTGCCCCTCAGAGACAAAGGAGGCTTTGCTCCTTTGTGGGCACCGGCTGCCAAGTGAAGGTAGAATTTGGCTGGGGGCAGAGGTCAACCTCCAGAGTAACGGGAATATTGGAAAACACATTTCTGGAAATCTGAGGTGGGAGGAAGCTGGGGGTGTGGAGGCATTGCCTTCTTAGTTTATTTGAACTTGTAGGGGCATCAGGATGTTCCCCACAGTAACATCCAGGGACCACAGGAATTAGATGAGGTCAAATGAGTTCCTTCTAAATGATGCTAAAGCAAGTCTTTCAAGAGAAGGGAACATCTACTGAGGTAGGGGCGTCCCTCTGTGGCTGAACACAATGGACGGCCTGAGTAGGACCAAGAGCAGAGAGCCATGTATGATATGTGTAATTAATTACTTCCATGAGTAGTTACAGGAAAAAATAGGGTTGTTTACATCCATATGACAGTTTAGAAAGGTAGCTTTTTGTGATGATATGGATGTTGTCTTTAATTTTAAAAGAATCACTAAAACACACATTTGCACAAAATAAATTCTCATTTCCATGTCTACCAATATGTTCATGTTTTCATTAAAACACTAATGTGAAAATGACCTGATTCTGTGGGAGCTGGGGACGAAGGTGCATGGTCTACTCCTGTGTCTGTCTATGTTGACAGACAGTAACTTTAGTAATGGATGGGTGATGCCTAATGCATGGGTGGATGACAGCTATAAAGGAAGAGCTAGGATTCAGCCAGCAAAGAGGAAAGGGCCAACATATCAGTTAATTTCTAAAAATAGACTGAATAATTGTTTTATATAAAGAGTAGTAAGTGGGCAGACCATTTGAAACATAGTTCCCCTACTGAACGTAAACTAGCTATTATGCTTGGGCAATCCTGGCTCTGACCCCAGCCCACGAGTTCTGGAGGAATCCCAGGGTGTATCTGTGGAAGGAAGCCCAAGATGAAATCACCAGTGTCATGGAGACTATGGAGCCAGACACTGATCAAGTTCTTGGGGTTCAGCCAGCACTGGGGAGGGATGTAGACTAGGGTGTCTCGTTCCCATGGATGGTCATACTTTAAATGAAAAGAAAAAGTTACACATACAGAAAGAGGGGGCAGGGGAGACAGAGAGACAGAGGTAGAAAAGAAGGTGCACACACACATGCCTGCACGCATGTATTCTACACATTCAACCCCTAGTTTAAAAAAAAAATTGCATTCTGTAGCTGGGTGTGCTGGAACATGCCTTTAATCTCAGCACTAGGAAGGCAGAGGCAGGCTGATCTTTTGTGAGTTTGAGACCAGCCTGATCTGCATAGTGGATCCAGGAGAGCCAGAGCTACAATAGTAAGACCCTGTCTCAATACTTCACCCTAAACTACGTTTTCCTAAACCTAGCTTTTCTCTTTATTAACCCTCAACAAATTCAACTATTTGCATTAGGTAGTATGTGTAGTAGTCTAGAGGTGAGAGAATGTAGGTAAATTTCATCTAGAGATTAGGCCATTTTATACCAGGCACTTGCGCATCCAGATTCACATACCCACGGTGATCCAGAACCCATCCTCTGCAGACACTAAAGGATGCTTTCCCAGCCTCCTGCTTCACACTGACTGCCCACTTGAATCACCTGGAAGACTTTTTAACGATCAGAGCCTGTGTTCCACTGAGTACTAATTGAGTCAGGATCTCAGGGGTGGTGTGGTGGTGGGGATTTCTAAGGCCGAGAAGAGAGTCCACTGAGTTAAATTTTCAAAATACTTTTGATAAAATTTCATCTGTCTTTTCTTTCTTTTTAAGTCACCAGCATAGGATGTAGAGAAGACACACACAAAGATTACAGATGGTTCCTCTCAGAATGAACGGAGAAAAAAAGCACAGAGGTCATTTCCCTAACAGTTGTGTAGAATACCCAGGGCTCAGATCATGTAAAGTGCCCAGGCTTCACTAATGCATCTGGTTGGCCAGCCTCTGCTGTAGGTGGCAGCTGAGACAAGATTCCAACTGGACTCTGGGGAGTGCAGGGTGTGCAAGTGAGATAAGCCACAAGCCTGATTAACTCTTCCATAGAGGAAATAATAACCCTGAGTGACAGCAAACATTGATAATAATGATTCTAATAACAAAGTGAGAAGGGAAGGGCAGGACACGCCCAAGAAATCCATGACAGCGGAGCAAGAGGCAGATGAGATCCACCTGGGATGAGGTAATGCCCCCAGGAAAGGCAGCCCATGGGGAATGAAGGCCAAGAAGGTGCTGTAGTGGACCACGTTGCCTCTGTTGACCACCTCACCTCCCATCTTGCAGGTTGTGAGACCACGCCCCCTCCATTTAACATCCAAAAGCCCAAAGGACTAGACCCTTTCTTGATGCCTCTTTGCAGCCCTAGTAGGGCTCATGGCTGAGGTTAGATCAGTGAACACCTCAAGTGTAATGACTGAATGATAATGACGTGGTGAGAGTCATCGGCAGGGTGCAGGGTGCTGAACTGGATGACCCGTTCTTAGTGAGGAGTGTGAACCTTCAGTGTCCTGTGGCTATACATGTATATGTATATGTGAATATATGGATGTGAATACATATATTGTATATATATTGTATATGGGAAGGGTCACATGCACCGAGGTCAACTTGTGGATTGGGTTGCAGGAATCAAACTCAGGTTGTCTGGCTTACTGCTGAGGCATCTCACAAGCCCTGTTGTTGTTTGTAAGTGCTTTCAGCTTAAGAATCCTGAGAGGTAGAGGGTTTATCAGTCAGATTATTTTAGCGATAACTTGTGACACAGGAAGTCGGTTAACCAGGGTCTTGGGTTCAGTATGACTAGGACCACATGGACTTAGCCCATTGCTGAAACAAGGACATAAAACTTAAGTGCTCTAGTTTTCATCTCCTTTCTTACAATAAAACACTGACCAAAAGCCACTCTGGGTGGAAAGAGTATTTGCCTACAGGATTTAGTCTATCATTAAGGAAAGCCAAGGCAGAAGCTTGATATAGAAACCAATGGAAAAACACTGCTTACTGGCTTGC